TGTAGCATAAGTTAAAATGGTTATTTTCGGTTACGGTCAGTGGGTACTAAAGTCAACTTCTCTCTCCAACTTTGTGTTAGGTTTCATCCTATAATAGTGATGGTTCACCACCACTGTGACCATTCTTACAGTGCTCGATCTCTATCTCTATGACCACCTACGATTGCTTCCCATGCAAACTTCCATGTCTCGTTAATTAGTTTCTTCCTCCACTACTATATCCCCTGTTCACGCACAGCAAACCCACTAATATATTATATCTGTGTGTGTGTGTGTGAGAGAGAGAGAGAGAGAGAGAGAGAGAGAGAGAGAGAGACTCTCTTATTAAAGAGTTGGTTATGTCGTCACATAGGTTACTTACCACCATAACGACCGAGCTTTTGTCACTTTCAGAAAAATTATGCAAACTGAGTCTGGACAAAGGTTGTAGCGGACTCGTATGGAATATAATTATAGGAAATATATAAGAGATATAATATAAGGAATAATTCCTAATTGACATTTTTCTTGATTCAATACCATTTTTAAGATTAAGATTTTTTATATTGTTTGTTGTATGAGAGAAAATATAACAAAAATAATTCTTAGTTAATATTATCTCCTCTCTCTTTTTTATTTTTTACTGAATATTTATTTAAGTAAGTATTCACGCACACATTACGCACACATTACACACACATTGTCCACACCCTCCTCCCTTTTTTAAGTAGAGCACACATTACACACCCGGTGTTGACACCCTCCTTCCTCTTTAAAGTATAGAGACTTATACATTGGTTAATTAATGGCTCTTTGGTATCCATCGAACGAACTTGAATGAACACGTAACGCAAAGGTGAGAAGCCAAAATAACAACAATAAATAAGTCGATCAAGAGCTATAATTGCTACGTACAATTACTTACTATTTAATTTCACTAAATTCTTTACACACGAAAAACACGTTATTTTAGCAATGATGATTAGGTTATCATTGTTTTTAACTTACTTTTTCCTTAGGCAAAGTATTGTAGAAAGGAAAATATGAAATTAAGGTTGTGTTGTTAAGTTCTATTACAAATATATATATATATATATATATATATATATATATATATATATATATATATTAGTTGATAAGTTGGACCTGAACTCCTAACTTTCTTTTGAAAAGTAAAAGTACTATACCATTTACTTGTTGGTTAAGGTTTGGTTTAGCATGCACTTTATTTTAGACATTTTTTTTTTTGGCTAAAACAGAAAAAATGTTTTTTTTTTTTTTTTTTTTTTTTTTTTTTTTTGTAGGAGTATTTTGGAAAAAAATCGGAAACACGTTTGTGAATAATGTTTTGCTGTTGAAATGTCGGAAACAAAAATATGCATAGTTATAATTTTGGGCCATGAACAGCTATCAAAATAAGAAAAAAATATATTTTTGGTGTTTTGATTTTAGGACACTGTTCACGAAGTATTTTAGCACTGTGTAAAACAAAATAAGGTCATATCAAATAAACTTTTATTGTTAAAATCGACACTGTAACAGTCCAAAAACAAAAACAGTAGAAACAAAATGTATGCCAAACGAGCTTAAGCTATGTTACTTATTTGTTGTGATTAAAATGATTTCTTGGTAATTAACATTGACACTTCATTTAAATCCCAATAATATTACTATAAATTATGATTTTTTGTCCCAAGTTAATTGCCCATTTCATTTACCCCTAAATCGAAAACAAAAAGTCAAAAGAAGAACAAGTATGTTATCTTTTTCTAATGATGCTTCCATGGTTAAGTAATAATGTCTTCTCTTTAATTAGATGATTTTCTAACCCTGTCATGTTCTTTCCGTCATGACAAAACAAATAGAATGTTACAGTAAAGGGGCATGGTTCACGACTTCACGGTACGATCGCACCCAAATTCATTCGACAATACAAAATAATTTCCAAGTGTTACTCATCATAACTTTATTTGAACACGAATTATACAATACTTTCTTGAGACAAATATTCAGAGTATTTGATGTGCAATGATTGGTTTTTTGGTATGACATTTTTATTTATTCTTTTATTTTTTCTAATGTACGTCATTTACACGAATTGTCACGTCATATTAATAGATGTGAAAAATGATCCAGCGTTGTGTCACTCACTAAAAGAGAGAGAAGCAAAAAAAAAAAAAAACACCAAACTTATGCTGGTTAGTAATTAAAAGTATGGAGGTGGTTGTTATGTCAATTACAATCCAAAACAATGATTAGGGGCAAAGAATTTTGATGGAGAAGTGTCATCATTATAATTGGGACCTCTAAAAGCGCCATAAGCCCCCTTAACTAAATAAGCATGCAATGCTGCCGCCAATGATATACGTACACGCACGTTATATTCACGTGCATACGTATTAGCCTTTAATTGTATGTACGATTTACAAAATTTGATACATCAAATTTAACACCAAAAACAAATAAAAAATACAAAATGTGTATTTATGACCTCCAAACTTGCAAGTCTTCAAATGTGAATTTAATAAAGAATTTGTCCAAGTTGTTATTTTATATGTTTTCTCTAAATTTAATCACTATATTTCGTTATTTTACGTATTTTCTTTAGATCTAATCAGTTTTAAACATTATATTTGAGGGGTAGTGTAGAGCCTAATAAATATTGTATAGCAAGGTCTAACTTTCCGAATCCAATTTGTTATTAGAAATTTTCGTGAACTCAACCCTGAATTTTTTCGGGAGTATTTTGGTAATTTCTGCACTTGTTATGATATCATAGTGCGACAATATTTATTCATTCTCAATTATCTGTATTCGCTGTTGTTTTAGTTATCATAGTGAAATCCCTACAACTTTCGGACGTAACTTTAGATTTTGGGTAAACCAAGTAAAATATGTGTGTTCTTGTCATGTGCATTTAAATTTTTTATTATTATTATTATTATTATTATTATTTTTGTATTTTCTGTTTAATTTTGTGTCTTTAGGCTAATTTATATTATGAAAAATCACAAAAGATAGGGTCATTTCATCTGTGCATCCTTTCATTAAATAAGCCTATGCCCAAGGCCAATTTCCGAAAGAGCCTATTTACATCTCTAAAATTAACCCTTTTCAAATGCCTTTAAAATTAAATCATTTTTGAAATTTTTTCAAAATTTTAAAAGTTTAATTTAGTTCTAAGAAACTCATTTTTATATCTCTCTGGAGTCTGGACACTTTATTATTATTATTATTATTATTTTTCATAAGCTGGGATTTTGGAAAAAAATTACAGTGTAGCAATTGTGATTGCATTCTCATTATGTTTAGTCATTGATCATATTTTCATGTATTTTTAAGCATATTTAGGTTCTAGTGATGTCACTTAAATCTTAATCGTTATCAGTAGACACTAAAACGTTTAACGACATGACTAGAACCTAAATGTGCTTAAAAGTAAATTGATGGGTGAGATACGCAAGTAGCGTGTGGCCTTTCTTAAGTTTGATTATAAGTATTCAGATCACTTAGTCTGTCTAATCATAAGGATTTAATAATCTTTTAATAGGCCTTCATTCTGTTACTATGTAGAAGTCAGCACGTAGCCAAATAAATTATTTGTGTTTAACCACTCACATTTAGAAAATTATATGAAATTATTTGAAAGATACACGAATGTACGAATATGTACATTGGATGTCTAAAAACTTTTCGATGTATAATTAAAAGTCTCACTCTGTCCATGTATAATTACATTTTCCCCTCCTCAAAATGGCCATATTACATTTTGTCATATTGAAAGCCTTATTTTTACTTACCCAAAAAAAGAAAATGAAAAAGAAAAAGAAAAAGAAAAAAGAAAGCCTTATTTTTCGTATAACATTTTAATTTTTAGTCATTTTTTGAAGAGGGGAGTGTTGGATGAAAAATTAAGGTGCAATAATATATATATATAGAGAGAGAGAGAGAGAGAGGGAGAGAGAGAAGTTTTTTTTTTTTTTAAAGCACATGTATTAGTCTTACAATACAAGCACCATTCAAATTAAGAGTGTGATTTGAAAACGAGATTTCAAAACCTTACATTCCAAATCCTTGCCAAAGCTGTTCCCCTAGAGACAAAGAGAATTGAGTGGTTTTAGGAAGTAGAAAAACTATTGTAATATTGATACCATGTAATTGAGGAATGATCATATTTTATGTCACTTATCAAACACGTTGCCTCATTTACTCAACATAATACCATGTGAGGTGAAATTATTGCCTAAGTAATTTATTGTAATTGTTACATAAATGATATAAAATTATTATGTATTTAATATGTAATTATTAAGCAATCGGTGTAAAAAATTCCCGGATTAGACCGCATCATATGAAAGTACGTAGATACATTGATACTATGCATCAAGACTCAAATCACAGAGCAATTGTATCTCACATATTAGTACATGATTTTTTACATGACATTTAACTGAAATACATTTATTAGATGGTCCCATAATAAGCCAAAGATCTAATCAAATATATTGGTGGTATGATATTTGCAAAACATGCGTAACACTGTAACATCATTACACAGCAGTAGTTTTTAGAATTTAGGGAAGAATTCTCGGGATATTTTAAGGTCGAAGGTCCTAGTTAGGATGTTGGCATGGGGTCTGCTGGTCATGTCGTCCGCAACGTTACAGGGACCCATTTATTGAGCACAGCCGGGCCCCACTTTAAAGCCAATTACAATACCCTTTCTCCATCTACGCAGGTAGGTGGCTCTTCTCCACGCATAGTAAAACTAACAATTCAACCCCATGACTTGCACATTTTCACCATGAAAACAAACCCTTTCGCTCGTGCTTCTTTGCCTTTCAATTCATGTCCTTCAACATATATAAATAACCTTCCTCTACAACCATTTGTCTACACCAACTTGATTAATTAATACTTAGTTCTCTCCCTCTCTCAATGTAGTATATATTTAATATCTTGCCCATATATCTTGTGTTTCAAGAAAATTTGGGACCATCTCAAAATCTTCATCCATCAGTATGCCGGAAAACATGAGTATATCTGTGAATGGGCAATCTCAGGTCCCTCCCGGCTTCCGGTTTCATCCAACTGAAGAGGAGTTGTTGCAGTACTACTTGAAGAAGAAGATTTCATATGAGCAGATTGACTTGGACGTAATTCGTGACGTCGATCTCAATAAGCTCGAGCCATGGGACATACAAGGTTTCAATATTAGATATATCATCAACAACTTACTTTAACTACTACTATAATATTACATCTCTATGTGCTAAACATTAATTTGTATATATGCTATATTTGATTATATATAGTTTTGAATTTGGTTTTGTAGAGAAGTGCAAGATAGGATCCACACCGCAAAATGATTGGTACTTCTTCAGCCACAAAGACAAGAAATATCCTACTGGTACCCGCACAAACCGAGCCACTGCTGCAGGGTTTTGGAAGGCCACCGGCCGTGATAAAGTGATTTACAGCAACTCTAGACGGATTGGAATGAGGAAGACACTGGTGTTCTATAAGGGTCGAGCACCTCATGGCCAAAAATCAGATTGGATCATGCATGAATATAGACTCGATGACATTACTACGGATACCAATATTGTTGTAAGTCCATCAATTTAAATATATATTATGATTTACATTCTTATAATATAGACATTGAATGCTATTCAAACCTACTAATCTAATCCAAAAGTGTACTCAAGATTACTTATTTTTTTGATATGTTGAATAAGATCAAAGTTTTGATCCACCTTATTCAATGATCCAATTGATAGAATAGAAATTTCTCTGCTAGACTTCTCAGTTAGACTATTAGGTCCGAATATCATTATCAGCTTATACATTTACTGATGATATGTGTATATATATTTAAATTTAAAGGTTTCCAACGGAATGGGAGAGGCAACACAAGAAGAGGGATGGGTGGTTTGTCGTATATTCAAGAAGAAAATTCACTGCAAAAACTTAGACAGTCCCATCAGTTCATCATCTCTCACTGGAGAAACAAGAAGTCAGACGCTGATCAGTCCGAGCGAAGAAGGGGCGTTGGAGCACATACTTGAGTACATGGGAAGGTCTTGTGAGGAGGAAGATGAGCAGGGAGACGATGGGAAGAGATTTCTGGGGCCAATGGACACTGCCTTCAACAACACACTCCATGACAGGTTCATGAAGCTGCCAAGTCTAGAGAGCCCAAACTCTATCACTGCTACCAATGAGTACCAACATGTCCATGTCCAGATGGTCACAGACAATGATTCTACCTTAGTCAACCAGGTCAGTGTCGAACCCAACTCGGTTTATCACTCCGAAACGGACCTATACAACTGGGCTGCACTGGACCGGTTCGTAGCCTCCCGGCTCAATGGTCAAACCGAGACATCTAAGCAACTAGCCTGCAGCTTCAATAATATTGAACCCAATACTACCATGCCTTTCTCTTCTCCATATGATCATGATCATCTCCAATTACAGCAATTACTATCATCTTCTTCTTCACCAAACAGACCCTATCAGGAATACAACAATGAATTCGATCTTCGGACCTATGCTCCTCATGTATAACAGAACAACCCTGTAGATAATAATGTCCCATGCCATAAAGTCAAGAGTATAATTATTATAGCAATTATGTGATTATATACACATGATTTTATTACATAAATAAAGTGAATATATATATGTGTGTGTGTGTGTGTGATGGGGTTGGCATTGTCAACCACACTATTTTTAGTTAATCACCATGTCTCCCATTTTCACCAGATGTCTTTAACCTAACTAGCAAACTTTGATTAATTCTTCCGAACGGCAATTATGTTCCCACATGGCCACCTTTTTCTGCTTAGAGAAGAACAAGATGGTTTTATGTTTCAATAATCTTTAAGAATTGCCGTTTATTTGCTCTGTCCATGGTCACGGATCCGGAAAATGATTTGAGTGGGACAGTATTGAAAAATCATAAGATTTTTAATTTTAGAAAAACAAAAAAAAACCTAATGTGATAAATACAGTTATACGAAGAAGTTTAACTTGATAGATATTGTCATCTGAAATCTCTCATACCTTTCATTTATTTTTTTGGTAAATATTTCAATTTCAATTACGATCGTACTAACCTATTAAAAACAACTCAAATTTAAAGGAATTCTGACAAGAATTGTGTACACTCATAAAATTTTTGGTCAATTTCACTCAGAGACTCCCTGAGGTTAGGTCCTATTTCACCTAGATGAAGATTTATTTTTTAACTTTCACTTATACTTCAATTTGTTTTTTGGCCTCAAACACATGCGAATTGACTATTTTACCTTCAAAATTTTAATACAAAATATCTTTAATTTTATATGACATAAACGTCCCTCTTTCATCTCTTTCATCTACGGCCTCTCTCACCCACCCCCTTCAACCACCACCACAATCAGTGTAAAGATAAGGAGAAAAAAAAAACTTAAATTGAATCCATCAGAGCAAAAATTCTTCGCTGTTTTTCGTTCCTGTCTTTGCCTCCATCGACACTATAACAGTACCCATATCATTGCAATTTCATACATTATATACACATACTGATATATATAGGTGTATATATATATCAGTTCGTATCCATAGGTATGAATTGATTCATCTGTCTGAATCAATTTGTTTCCTTTATATGTTGTGCACGCCGAACAAGAATGGAGTGGATAGGAAACTATTACTTACTTCAGCTGAAACTGTCAGAAACTGCCACAGCATCAAACCAGTTATCACAATTCAGAGCCTGTAAAAGAGGTCTCAATCGAGTATCAAAATTTGACACAACAGCCAATTTGACACCTACTTTTGTTAGAGCTTTGAATACTTTCTCAGCATCCTGATCACAGAGGTGCCAAGCCTTTGGATTGAAAATAACATTAGAAAAGGATGGAAAAAAAAAAAAAAAAAAAAAGGACCATGTCAAGATATATTCAAAAGTTGGCATTATTTATTATGTTTTACAAGAAATAGTAAAACAGTATATTGTTAGCGTTTTGGATGGATTTTACAGGCTTTCTATGAAAAAAATCCAATAGTAAGGAAATTGCTTCAAAAATGCTAACTAATTGATGTCTTAACCTTACCGCACATTCTTAGTAGTAGAATAGTTGTATGGGCATGAAAACAAAACTATTGAGAGGTAAACTTTAGGTTACAGTTTAATCTTTTCTTAAAGACCAAGTGTTATAAAATTATTTAATAGCTTGATAATTTAATGCTTCTTGCGTGTACAATTACAATTGCGTATTACTATTGAAATTTATTATTTTATTATATTAATTTCAATTGTAAAATTCAAAAGTTTTAATTAATTTTGAATTATATATACTTGGATATGCTTGTATGATGTATATATATTAGGGTTGTTTCTTTTGAAACTAAAGTACAGTGATATTGAGAATTTTCTTGTGATCAAATTATAATGAAATTGAGAATCTTAATTTGTCTGCACCATAGTGGAACCATAATGGAGTGATTTGTTTGACCAACATGGATAAATTATTTCATGTAATATATACATGTAAAAGTGATTTATTTAGTCAAGCACTATACCTAATGTTTTATTGTGTAATTCATGATACTTGGTTAATTTTAAGTTGAAAAACCTATGGGACTTGCGTGCGATAATCAAGAAGTATTAACCTAATTGATTTAAAGTTTGAAGTACTTTAAATTGTTTATCCAATATATAATATGCATGCATAAAGTTTTTGTTATTTTTCTTTTAATTAAAGTATATAAAGAATTGAATTTTTTTTTTTTTTTTTTAAATCTTGATTGATGTGCATGTTATTATTATATTGTTCATTGTAATTCCTTAATATTTATGAGGAGGCTTTATTTTATTTGTGTTAGAGCCATTTGTGTTACAGTGAAATTAAATGTTCCATAATTTTGGGTTTGGCTTATGTGCACTAAATAAATAAATAAATATAAACATAAATAAAATGGAACATTTATAGTTTAGGTCTTTCCTTGGAGTTTAGGAAGACCGGTAAAGTGATCGTTTCAAAAGTGATAACCAAATGGGTGATGCCTGCTAAAAGGTGACACACTCATACAGATTATTATTTTTTAAAATTTTAAGGCATTGGTCTTATTGAGGTCTCACATTGCACTTACCTACACGAAGGCATTTGTTCTGCCAAAAGATGATCAATGTCTTAGTGTGTGATAAGTGAGTAGAATATTTGAGAGTGCTTGAATTATAACTAAATAACCCTCTTGCCAAAATGTAGTGGAAGTGTTTAGCAATAATTCAAGTGTAATCAAATAGGTCTATGTGCGATTTTATCGCAGGTTTGGGGGTAAAGTAAAATCTAAAATTCTGCCAAAAGGTGTTTTTTAGGTGGCATTTTATTTGTTCCCGCATGGTAGATGGTTTTGCACACAATAAAACACCCTGAAAAATTCGACTTATAACCCCAAGCACAAATTAAAGTAATAATCTCTAAAGCAGTGACATATTATTTTATATGTTGTTTATGTAGTGTTATTCAATATAACATTTATTTAGGTTACAGACGCTTCCGCAATTTAAAGATAGCTTATAGGGATTGAACCATTGAATGGTTAAAATTATATTGCCTAGAAGACAGGTTTTGATATTATATTGAGTTTCTTAGACCATGAGTCTATATTTTTTGAGGAAGAAACCTAAATGCCCAGTGTGGAGTCTTCTTAGGTAGATAAATTGTTGTATTTTTTAAGTGGACTAAAGGTACTACCATGCCATTAGGTTAATTTATGCTTCTGGTTTTGATACTGCCAAGGTGCTTGTTGATTTAATCAAGAAAGAGTTAATGGGTATTAAGAAGCAACTACGATACTATTATCTGACATGATTTTGTTAGTCAGATATGATGGCAATAGTTCAGTGAGGGAGTACATCTATAAGATGTGCAAGCTGATTAATAATCTGAGGTAGTAGGAAATCATATTTGATGATAAGTTATTAGTGAACATGGTGATTTATTCTCTGCTTAGGTTTTTTCAACTTTTTAAGGTGAATTATAATTCACAAAAAGTTAAATATGGCATTAATCAGCTATTAGCACTTTGTGTGATTGAAGGGGAGCGACTCAAAGGTGTTAAAACTGAGTCAGCTCATTTTCCCGTGACATCAAGAATAGTTTCAAGAAGAAATTAGGCGGCAAGAAAGTGTATAAGGCTAAAAAGAATAAAGAAAGACAGAACAATACGTGAAAAGACATTGATCATGGAATGATAAATGTTAGTTCTATAGAAATAAAATGACATCAAAAGAAAAAAAGGCTACTGTGTTGAAAAAGGAAAACAAAGCATGAAAGAAAATTGTCAGGTTAATATTTGAGCCTAACTTGATAAAAGTATAGGTATAGACATGGTGGATGGATTCAGGTGTGATTCTACTTGTTTCTTGTTTTTCTATAGACTCGATACCTTTTGAATAAAATCGTGTTTTGGTTAGAGAGGATTCATCTATGCTATACATATGATATTGAGGAATGTCTCTCCAAAGACACTTGAACGCTTGGTCAAGGATGAGATTATTGGGCCACAAATTTTATGCGTTGGTTGTATCAAAGGACAGATGCAGAGAAACGCAATTTTGAGGCTAGTTGGTCATTTGGTCTTTTAGACTATATTTATATCGAATTTTGTGGTCCATTTCTTATTGTACCTCGTTTGCGGTAAATGTATTTCATTGTCTTCATTGATGGGTTCTTAAGGTATAATTGTGTACTTAATTGACCAGAAATCCGAAGCACTTGATTTGTGTAAAATATAGCAGACTAAAGTTGAAAGTAGTTGGGTATAGTGATTATGGTTTTAAGATCAGACTAAGGTGGTGAGTTTTATTGGGAGAATGATAATGAGGGTGTAAATCGTAGTACTTTCAGTACGTACTTAAAAAATAGGGCATTGTGCCACAGTACACTATTCCTAGTTCTCCTGCGCAAAATAAAGTTATAGAAAAGAGAAAGTGTGGAGATGTCTTATAGATATAGAGTTATATAATGTAGATATCAAGGAACTTGATACTCGCATTGTCAATGATTATTTTATTGGGCATCTTGAAAGATTAAAAGATTCGAGATTTTACTATCCTGTAGACCTATAGAGATTATTAGAATATGTCATGCATATTTAATGAGAGTGGTGAATCCAGTGGGAGTTTAAGATATTGTAGTTTCTTTTTGCAGAAAAGTATTTTCAGCATCTACTTTATTTACTCTAGGCTTCATTCCACTTTCTTTAGTGGTTTCAGTTAAAGCTCATATTCGCACTCTTTTAGTTATTTTTCTTTTGCAGACCTTTCTTTCAGTTTCCAATCTAGTTCCTAAGTCAGTTTAGCTTAGGAGATCTTCTAGATCTTAGAAGTATGCTGTAGTTGGTGATTTTAAAGTGTCTGGTGGATATAAGACAAAAATTGATGGCCAAGTGCTTAAGCAAAAGTTAAGTGTTGATTTCTTTGAGATTTTCTCCAGCTTTATTAAAGAACTTTGTAAGAGTCATTCTTTCATTATCACTCATTTATGACTTAAGTAAGTTCTACAGCAATAGTATCCAAAA